ACCATATCAGTGAGATTACAAATGCTGTGCTCAAGCATGGGTATACCTGCAAACCAAGAGGCTACTGGCTATAGAATATTCTAGACCATTACTCTCTATGATGGTATTATCAGCGGTAAGGATGCCAAATGGTGGGTGGTTAAATTCCACTTTTGTTTTCTTTCTTCTGATGACCTTTAGAGGGCTTCACTTAGGAAGAACACCAAATTTGGAACTCTGCCAGAGGTTATGAAGTTCGAGGAGTTATATATATGCACTCCAGATAGTGCAGGTGCCCATCCACTTAATAGGCAAGGCTAGAAACATGTTGGATACACATAAAAAGAGGAACCCAATTCCTTTTAAAGAAACTCCCAAGGAGGGACTTTGTAACCAGGCATAGGTGTGATTAGTTTGGTTTCCAGTATAATTTGCATAAATAGGGGGATTTTATGGTCCCCAGGGATTAAATGTGAATGGTAAGTGACTGAAAAAGTAGTTATCCACACATAAGGGAGTAAAAGTTTGACTTGTTGTGTTCTGTAAATATGGGGCCTGACAGATAAGATTTCTAAATATTAATTGGTTAAGGGAAAAATGAGGAAAAGACATATGAGTAGTGACATTAAGAAGTTGTCCAGTTTCAACCCCTATTCTTACATATTCCATCCCAGTTGCTTAACTATTTATAGGCATAAAGGAATCGTTATATACTCTGCTGGCATTAACTTTGTTGTTTTCCACCACAGACAAAACCTGTGGAGGTCCACAGTGAACTCATCAGTCATCATACAGCTCCCATTCCTGGTGTGTCTCATTATAGCTGAGGGTGTAATTACAATGGGCTTGTGTTAAAGCCCCTAGGAAAGAGCCAGGCCCTTCCAAGTCTCTGATGCAAAGGCTCACTTTACAGGCCTTTTCTGGTGCCTTCCCTGTTCACTCGGTTACAGTGGATGACTGCCATGAGAGATTGATTGGCCTAGGTCTCACTCCTAAACCTGTGTTTTTGGTGTGCGTGTACATGGTGTAGTCAAATCCAGAGTAGAGAGTATTGGGCTTGTGTGTTCGTCATTTCTTTCTACAGGTAGAGGGACTGCTAAGACTGTAATGTTATTCTCAGTGCCTGCCTGTGTGGGCATATCCACCAGTTAGTGCGGTGTGTCATGTTAGCAAGCTGAGATATTACTGGATAGAGCAGGTGCCTGGTTGCAGCCATTGAGGCAATAGTTAGCCATGGCAGACACAATAAAAACAGAGCCATATTTAAGGAAAATGACAATATATGGTAAACTTAGAAAAGAAGAAGGGCTGCAAAGAGCATGAGAAAAACAGTTAAACAAATACCTAGTATCTTACACATCAGTGTTGTGGCATAGAAGTAAATACTATTATTAGGACAAGTATAAAGAAATTTCAGGCCCAACGGCTGTAATCCCAGCACTTTGGAAAGCTGAGGTGGACCGACATTTGAGGTCAGGAGATCAAGACCAGCCTGGCCAACATGGTGAAACTCTTGTTTCTATTAAAAACACAAAAATTAGCCAGGCATGGTAGCGGGTGCCTGTAATCCCAGCTACTCAGGAGATGGGAGAATCATTTGAGCCCGGGAGGTGGAGATTGCAGTGAGCCCAGATTATACCACTGTACTCCAGGATGGACAACAGAGCAAGACTCCATCAGAACGAATGAACAAAGGAAGGAGGGAAGGAGGGAAGGAAACGAAGGAGGGAAGGAAGGAAGGAAGGAAGGAAGGAAGGAAGTAAGGAAGGAAGGAAGGAAGGAAGGAAGGAAGGAAGGAAGGAAGGAAGGAAGGAAGGAAGGAAAAGCAATTTTGTACCTTATAAAAGCATTAATATTAAGAGCATGAAGCTGCTCAAGGGAGGCAGATGGATAATTACTGAGTGCTCGCAGTAAAATTGAATCAAAAGAGCCGCTTTAAGAGTAACGTTTCAAAGAGGTGTTGGATTTATTTTCATTAACTTTTAGGGAGGTTAAAAATCCTAGGTCGCTTGGTTTAACAAACCCACTTTTACCTTTTCTCTTTAAATGGGTTTTCAATGTTTATATTCCACTTAGACCATAAATAATGAGTCTTATCTCAGCACCAGCAGCTTAGAGACACAGACTTAAAGCAGGCAGAAAAGGGGGAAGACAGAGAGCTTTAGAAGACTCTACTTAACTCTACAGTACAGATTGACCATTTGAGCTCTGAAATTTTCTTGTAATTTGCCCATCAGTTTAAAATGTGCAAAGAAACGGGTTACACACTATGTAACCAGCTGGAGTTTTAAACAGAATGATAAAATCGGGGGTTACGATGTTAGAAACTGTTTCCTTTTTAAGGCTGGACCCATGGATTGAACAGAAAAAAAGAAAAAGAAAAGCAAAGAACGGAGAGGAAAAGGTTGAATTTTACAGGAGGGCTTTGAGACTTCCAGCCACTGCACAGCCTAAGGTGCAGGGCGGGCACCTCTACCACTTTCACTTCTCTCCCATCAGGGAAAGTCTTAAGCATCCCAGACCTATATGGTGTGAGATGAGTTTCTCCCACTTCCACCAGTCACCAGTTAAGGTGACCTGTTTCCAGCCATAGCAGAGAGCCCCTTCAGCTCAAGGCCATTATGAGTGGGGATTTTGTTCCAGGGGCGTTTCAGCTCTCAGGGCAACCCCATTTCCAATGGCCAAGCTTGTAACAGAGGAGACAAGCCGTGAAGGGCTTTTTTCCATTTATTTCATTAGGGCACTTTGCCTTTCAGTGGCCTGCCGTTGTGCCCCAGTCGTGGTTAGGGGAGAGTGCTTAGGGCAACTTGGAGGGGGCTGGGAGCTTGTAAAGCAGCCAACAGTTAAGCCCTCCTCTTATCTCTGTCTTTTTCTTTCTCCTTAGCTTTGTTTTCCTTATTCTGCTTTTGGTTATAAAGACTAAGGAGGCTAATTTGAGGATTTCCTGCATAAGAGACATGCTGTATTACACATGAAAATTAGACACTTGTTTTTGAGAGTCTGAGGGTTAAATTTCTTCCAATGATTTAGAATGCAGCCTACAGGTGAGTCTGAAAGAATAGATGGAGTTGTCCCATGGTGGGACTGGAAAACACATCACTCAGGGCCTCATTAACTAAATTTTTAGAGTCCAGAGTGCTCACCGCTACATCACAGAAACACACTGCATTTACCCTTGGGGCATCCAACCAAGATTAAAAGGGGTCCACTTGCATCCACCAAGGGACTTGGGTGCACTTTCTAAAGGGGCATCCCCCCTTTTACTAAAGACCTCTCAGCCACTCGGTGGGGGGCTTACACTGGATGATTAGTCCATGTATTCAACGCAGGATGATCAGCAGATCAGCCCAGAAAAAAGATAAAGGAAGAACTCCACCTGGCGCCAGCCCAGGGGAGGGGCAGGGAAGGGAAGACACCATTCTGAGGCTGTCTGAGTTCACCTGATCCAGCAATGTTGGAACAGAATGGCTGGCTGACTCCAGGGGGAAATTCAGAATGAGAAAGGGAGGGTCTGAGTCACCCAAAATGTGTGAATTCGCTCTGAATGAGCCTCTGCTATCAGTCATGTCACATTTAGGGATTAGGGACCTCTGACAAGAAAAGAGAGGAAAGAGCCTTCCTCCCTAATGGGAGAGGCAGCTAACCTTGCTCACTCTCTGGCAACACCAGAGAGCAGTCCTGGACAGTTACCATCAATTGCCAGAGCGATACTAGAAGCTGGCTGCTGAAAGACTAAAAGAGAAAATAAACTTAAGTGCCTCCCCTGAACAGGTGTAGCAGTCAGACGCTTCCACGGGGACACTTTTCGGCCCACCAGAGTGTAGCTCTGGCCAGAGACCTACAATTGTCTCCATGCTCAGATGCTATCCACTAAGGGTTCCAAGTTGGGAAAGAGAGAGAGGCAAGAGGATTCCCCATAAGGAGAGAGCTCCCCATATGGGCCACCAAAATGTCGTGGGTGAGTGACAACTATCTAAGGCTGGTGGCCCAGGTGGTAAAAGAATTTACGAAGACAGTTGTAGGTAAAGAAAAGCAGATTTACTAGAGAAAGTATGAAAATATATTGCAAGAGTGCAACAGCCAAGTTAGCAAAAGAGGGGCTGACTGCCAGGAAAAGACAAAGGCTTGCTGGGAATTTGTTCTATGTGCTCCCCTCTCATCACCAGGCTGGACCTAATCCTGCAGGAACTAGGCCAACAACTGGTAAGTGACCTGAAGAGTCGGTTCCTGATTGCGTGGAGAAGAAAATACCTTAGCAGCTGACGGCTGATGTCTTCTAATCATTGACTTGACCTTGTATGAAAAGACCTATACAGTCTTGCAAAGCCCATCCCCTAGAACAGCTCTTCAATGCTGGCATCCTTTGTCCATTCTTCTTGGTAGAACAGATCCAACGTTTATATCTACCTCTTCTCTTTCTTCTCTGTAGCACTGTACAAATTTTGAAGATGAACAGCCTTCCCTCCTATGTGTGTTTCATAACACCTTGCCTATCTTCCACCTATGAGACTTCCCTGTCACTGCTAAACCTACTAGTAGGAAAGACTCCCCAAACCACAACTTTCCTGTTCCTTTAGTGTCTTGCTTTCAGGGAGACTGGAGAATGCACCTTTCAGTAGGCTGAAACTAGGACTAAAACAGTTCATCTAGAGCAATAGAGGCTACCTCTATTTCTCCCCAGCAACATCACTCCTTTCTTGTATCCATAAATGACTAATGATAAGTTCTTTTCAATTTCTTACCTTTTTTTCCTTTCAGAGGTACGTGCTGAGTTAACATACGGTATAGGCACTATAGCAGAGAGCCTTGAAATCAGATAGACCTGGCTCAATAGGGGTCAACTACTTAGAGTTATAAAATGTTTCTTAACATGTCTCTAATGTAGCTTTCTCATCTGTAAATTGGGATAATACTAATAGCTGCCTCATTTGCTTAGAGTCAAGAATAAAGTTATGGGAATGATAACATGACGACGACGATGATGATATTAAAGAAGAAAAATCACAAAGCCACGAGGCTTAGGATACCCAGTGTTTATTGAGGTCAAATAAACGTGTTATAGCTCTATAATTATTGTCATACATATGAATATTAGCCTTAAACTCAAGTGGCAATATCAAATAATGTTTCTATAGATAAATCCATATTAATAAAATGTATAAATAAAATGCATTCTTACAATAATAATAAATACATTTATAAATATAAAGTACTGATTATGGAAACATTAAGTTATTTAGGATTTTTTTCCCCTAAAGGAATGGGAATTAATCTTTTTTATGGAAAAAGACAATTGTTTAAAAAATAAATTATTTTCTGTGTATAGAACACCAGTTACAATAAAATGTTACCAATAAATATCTATGCTTAGAAAGTCTACCTTCTGGTCTTATAAACAAAAGTGGCATTGGTTTCCTTTGTAAGTAAAGCAGGGGTTCATTTGGAATCCACCCATCATGATGAAGTTTGGCTTCCCATCTTCTTTTTGGTAAAAAATAATAATAATAATCACTTTGGGGGATATAATTGTCATTTCTAGCAGGAAAGGAGGTTAGTCATTCATTTTTCAGCTTTGCTGTGGTCAAATGCAGGCATTTCTCAGAGACATAAACAACAAATCCAGTTCTCCAATTGCTTTGATCTCTCCACTCTCTCCAAGCTGTGAAAATAAGAATGCAAAAGTATTTGCGCATTTATGCCATGCTTTCTAAAGTGAACAAATTAGAAATTGCATGATTAGGTTGCTGGAGACAGAAACTGAGTTTTAAGCACTTGTAAAAGAGTCAGCGTTGTCCTCTATAGAGTACATTGTTCTTTCTCTTCCCTTTCACCTTTCCACACTTCTTTTGACATAAAGCCAAAAAGATATTTTTTTCTATCTCAACGATTCCAAGACCATAAAGAATTTTAAAGTTATCTTGCCCTACTGTCTGTAACGCATTTTACTACCAGCCTGCGCTCTGCTTTTACCCACTGTGAGAGGGAATCGCTACTTCCCAAGACCGCCCTATTTCAGACAGTTCCGGCAGTTTCTCCTGTTGATCTTTCTCTGAACAACGTTCCTCTCCTGCCTGTGCTTCTGAAGCTACCAGCAAAAAAGCATAATCACTCTCCCATGTGGCAACCCATTGCAAACATGAAATTGATTCTCTCAAAACGGATTAAAGGCCTTGAAATTCACGTAGATCACCATGAGATTTTCCTCTCTCACGCTTCACAATTCTAAAGACTACAAAGCAAGCTGAAATCAGGAATTTTTAGAACAAGAAGTCCAAAGCCTGTCTTATCTGTGACACACTAACATTCAGCCCTCCATGTCTAGATAATAGTTCTGTAACAAGAGAAATGAGCTTCACAATTTAAAACTACAAAGCTTTCAATTACCAAAGAAAGAAACAATCCTACTCATTAAATGATACTCAGGAAGACATGCTTTTTTAAAATCAAGATGGAGAAAAGGGGGAATTAAGGTTAAGCTTGTTACCAAAAATTCTATCAACTGGAGCCTTCATGTTTCTGAGTATTTAGTTACACCTGCAAGAGCATCACTTTCCCTGCTCCTAATCATCTCTCTGGTTTTGGGGTGAGTCACTATTGTTAGTCTAAGCCTTCCATTGTCGTCCTTTTCACCAAATAGGCCACATAATGGTATTATTCACTATAGAAATGTACACCAGCCCACAGTGGATAAAGGCTCACTAGGGATTTGTTGAGGGAGTGAAGGAAGAAACTAGAGGAAGTTCTTGAAGGGAGAGAGGAAGAATAAAAGCCCTACCAGACTTCTATTTAACTGTAATAAATGTCTTACTAATATTTCCTCTCTATTTGAACATGTATAAAATAGATCAGGGATTGTCTGCTCTTGCTTTTAAACTAAAATCAATAGCTGTTGGATAGTATAGCAATTAAAAATAAGTATCAGTTACTCCAGAAATTCACCCTATATGCAAGTCCAGCTCTTGTTCTACATTTATTCCTCCAAGTTTCAAAGAAACAAATTAATGCCTTCAAAAATGACTTCAAATAAATTTACCCATAGACATTTTTCTCTTTTTAAATGAGTGCTTCTTCGGATTATATGAGTCAATACGAATCTGAAATTTCCCCAAGAATTAATGATACTAAAACTAATCTGTACTGCCGCTGGGGAAAGTGCCAGCTTGGGATTCAGGAGACCTGCATTCTAGCCCTGTCTCTGCCACCAGCCATCCCCAGAACGTGAGGTAATGTGACTGGATGATCTAAGATCCCAGCCAGTTCTAGAATTCTACAATATGCAAAATTTGGAAACTGACTTCTAGATATATAAACATACCTACATACACAGACACCAAAGCAATCATGCTGTTGGTAGGAGAATCAAGTGAAAAATCGCAAAGGGAAGGGAAAAAAGAAAGGAAAGTAAAACAGCATTTGTCTCTTCTATTCCATGACAGCATTGACAGTTATCAGTCCTACCTTTTTCACTGTGTCCTTCAGATTTTGCACATTCCTCTGGATATGCAGGTCATCACCTTCAATATGCTGTAAAACAAAAACAAGAATGACTACCTTCATTGTGTTGTGCTGAAGCTTTATGAACATCAGCACCCATGAAGGTATGTTACAATTCACCTGGAATTAAAGCTCTTAGTAATTTTGCCCACAATGACCTAGATTTCACCAGTGACCTAGATTTCCTGAGCTCTTGAATTCCCTTGGACACCAGAATCCAGTCACTTCCCTTACAAGAGACCTCTCTTCATCTTTGGGAAATCCTACTGAGGTTTGCGTTTGTGAAAAGAGTGGGGAGGTTTATGCAAATTCTGTAAGGAATAAAACCTCAATCGTACCTCCACAAAATTGCATGCTCAGAACAAGAAATGTGCATAAAACATCTCATGTGAAAATTAAGCCCTCTTCAGTAAGTCCTAGGTCCTTTTACTGGGCCCACTCCACTCACACTTTTTTTCATCATTTCAAATGTTCAGAGGCATCAAGTTCACATGCCTCCAATTTTGTCACTTCCCATGACATCAACAGGGCAGCAGTCTGGGGACCCACCACCGACATTAAGCCTTCCTATTTCCTACTTTCTCTTCTACTTTCTCTCCATGCCATCCCCTCCCCTCAACAACTTGGACTCAATAGATCTATTTCCACATCTAAACGGTGTTTTTCCCAACACTGTTCTCATCTTACACAACTGAGTTGCCTTTTTTCTAGAGACAAACCAATGAGGCTTCTATACACTTACGTTTCAGACCCCTATAAACCACTATAAACTCAAGAGGTGACTCAACCAAAGCAAAAACACTCTGTGATCCCAAATGACTCCTGATAATACTGCTTCCAAGACACTTACTTCTTCCTGCTAGCTTAGGGGCAGGGGGAAGGAGAGAAAGTTAGGATAAGGGGGTCTCCATGGAAGAAGGTGGGAAGGAGGGATAGGTGGACATAGGCTGAGAGCTGAACTTACACATGTGCTTAGCCTGTTGCTGAGCCTGGCCAGGAAGGACACCACCTCCTGCATATAAGGCTGGAACCTATCAGACTGAGGGAGCAGCACTTCTTCAAGGGTAAAGTTCAGCACCTGCTTCATCAGATAGCAGCGCTCACTCATCTGCAGGTGGAAGGAAAACAACAGGGTGATATTAGGGAATATCCAGGAAGACCTAAACCATCATCACCACCACGCCAAGTACCCATGGATGGCACACAGCCCTGTTCATCACAACTGTAACTTACACTGACTCCGCGGAACAGTTTCTCCCCAATGAGACGAACGTCTGTGTTGTTATCAGCCAAGCTAGCCTGGAAGAGAAAAGAAGACTAAGTGCCTGGACACTGAGCAGATAGAAGAAAACTCTACATGTAGACATATGCCCCATCCCTCTCCCCAGAGCAACCCCATAAAGACTAAAGACAGAATTCAGATGTATGCATGAGTTTAGAACAATGCACAGGGGCATAAAGGAAAAAACTTAATCATCAGATGGGTTACTGAATGGTTGCTCTTTGGGGAAAACACATGTTAAGTATCATAGAGGCCAAAAAGGAAGGAAGGAGTTTAAGTTAAAAAGCCAGATTCCCAAAGAGTCTCTGAAAAAAAAACCGGAAACTTTATCTACCCACAGTGATAAACAATGGGTTCCTAAAGCTCTTACAGGTGTTCTGAAGAAAAAATTGAGAACTATTTGGGTTCCAAGTAGATAGAATGAGAAAGAGCGAGATTGAGATATGTACCTCCTTAGCCAGCATGAAGGTGCGGTTGGTGATATAGGGCTGCTGGAAGTTGGACTTGTCAAGCCTGCAGTGGGAGCTGATGGGCGCAGCTGTTCCTCCCTGCACCGAGAGGGCCAAGAGAAGGAGGTAGCTGGTGGCCAGAGACCCCATAAGGAAAGAGCTCACAGATTTCTGCAGGGCAGTCATTGCAGAAAACTCTAATTCGAACAATTGGTGACTGGGGAAGGAGAACCTGGTCGAAGACAACGTGAAGGAACAAAATTAGTCAAAAGTATCTCATCAAACTAACCAATTATACCAAGTTTGCTGAAACGCTTACCTGTTCTGAAGATTCTGCTTGTGATAGGGAAGGTAGAAGTTGCTGCTTTTATAGCCCCCAGGATACCTACATTTTTTTTTATTTGAAAAATATGACATCAGCAATTATCTAATTTCCAGTACTGTCTTCTGAGAACGACCTAACCACCACAGGAGCCCACAAAACACCACCTCCTATCCTTCCCACCTTGAGATACAAGTGTTTCCCTAAAACGTCACCATTAGAGCCCAAAGGGTATTTTACAGACCAATCCCAGAAATTTTCTAAACCCTACATATTTTTCAAAGAAAACAATTGCTTTGTCTTAGTAGAGTTCAGATTTCATATAAAATTTGTTTGATCTCCTATAGTTACTGAGTAAGCATTTTGGTCACGGACTCATTTTCCTACCAGCTTTATAGATTCTTATCTCATTGGAGGTGATCAGAACAAAGGACCCATGTCCTATATCCTCTGCTTTAAAGTAAATGATAATGACAGCTTACAGATCATTCCATTATTAAAATAATTTTATCTCATTTTTAAACACGCTGAATTCTAAACTAGACTTATGTTGCAAAAGTAACAGTCTTGGCTAATCTAATTATTGTTTTCTGCCCTTTCTGGGACTATTTTTAAGTGATCATAACAATTAAGGTAGAAGTACATATATCTTAAAATTGTATTCATTGAATTATAATCAATATCAATTTGTTTGTAAATACTAATGCTGAACAATTTGATCACCATTTTTCTTAACATGCAAACCTTTATAAAAATAAAAGAATACCATGGATATAGTAATTCATCTTAAATTTTTACCTAGTTATAAACTGCACACAGGTCTCAACATAATATTTCTAAATAATTTATAACAATTAACACATGTATATGCATGGATGTCTGAAGAAGGGAATACAGGAATATAGAGGTTCCACATTATCTTTAAATTATTTAAAAATACCCATAAACTAGATTGGAAATCCTCCTGCAGAGTAAAAGAAGGAAGCACATGCAGCTGTCAAAAATCAAATAGCAAATACCTATTGCTGAGAGAAGGAATGTGAATTAGTGCAAATTCGTATGATCAGAATTTTCTCCTCACAGGTAGTTAAGATCAGGAATGTTGAAGAACTGGGAGAAGGGAGGTAAATAATTGTAACCTAGACCACTCTTTGAGGTGAAACAGACCTAAGCAAGGTGCCATAGTGAAGGGTCAGAACCACACGAGAACACTGAGCATTTGTGAAAGTGGCTAGAGTAGAAAGAAGCAAAGAGGAAGGTTAGTGAGAGTCAGTAACACCACATGATCACACTTGCATGTGGAATCTAAAACACTTGAACTCATAGTAACAATGAGTAGAATGGTGGTTGCCAGAGGCTGGGCAAGCAAGGAGCAGCGAGCTGGGGAGATGTTAGCCAAAGGATAGAACATTTCAGTTAAAGAAGAGGAGTAAGTTGAAGAGCTCTATTGTCCATCATGCTGACAATAGTTAAGAACAATATAGCGCATGCTTAAAAATCACAAAGAACATAAGTTGTAAATGTTCTCATTACAAAAAGAATTTCCAAGTATGTGAGATAATGCATAATGTTAATTTGCTCAATTTAGCCATTCCACAATGTATGCATATATCAAAACATCCGTGAAATCAACGTAAGTATCCACAAATGGATGAATGGATAAAGAAAATGTGGTATATACACATAGTGGACTACTCTTCAGCCATAAAAAGAATGAAATCCTGTCATTCGCAATAATATGGATGAACCTGAAGGAAATGTTAAGTGAAATAAAGCAGATGCAGAAAAACAGATGCTGCATGATCTCACTCATGTGTGGAATCTAAGAAAACAAAAAAAAAGTTGAAAAGTTGATATAGAAGCAACGAATATAACAGTGATTACCAGGGACTGGGGAGGTAAGTGGGGAAAGGAGGATGGGGAGAGGTTGGTCAACGAGTACAAAGATACAATTAGACAGAAAGAATAACTTTGGTGTTCTATTACACAGTAGAATGACTATATTTAACAGGAAAAGATTGTATTTTACAAAATAGCTAGAAGACAGACTTTTGAAGATTGTCACCACAAATAATGATAAATGCACGAGGTGATGAATAGACTCACCACTCTGATTGTATTATTATACAGCAGACACGTGTATCAAAACATCAAATTATACTCCATAAATATGTACAATTACAATGTGTCAATTTAAACAATAAGTATATTTAAAACATCATATGTGTAACATAACTACTGCATATGCAATTTTTATTTGTCAAATAAAAATAAAATAGTATTTTTCTAAATTAAAAAAAAAAAACTAGGTGTGTTCCAAATGTTTCCTTGGGGTTGACCATGAGCCCAAGAAGAGATGATGAAACTCTTCCTTATTCAATTTCCTATTATATATGGCCATTTTTGCCCAGAGCTTTGTATAATTATATTAGCACTAGATTTAAGCTATTCTATGGATTAAATAGGCTTTTGCTGGTTTGCCTGGGAGACTGACCAGCTTACATAATTTTGTTTCCATGGGAAAATAAGCTTTGACATTGTTGAATTATATGCTTTCAAGGGAAGAGTCTCTCTCTGTCTCTTTCGTCTTTGCAACTCCAACACTTAGAACAGTGCTACACACATAGGAAGGACTTAATAAAAGCATATTCACTGCCTTTACAGTATTTCTAAAGTTGAGTTTGGACCCAGTCCTGCTCACCAGCATATTGTTCCTGAATAGTAAATAAATCACTGTGAAACAGAATATCAGAAAATTGCAAAGCTGTCTTTAATAGCAGCAGTGTGTCTCTTATTCATTGTATGCCCCTGATGGACCAAGCATCGATAAGATAGTGTTACTGGAGCCTAGTTCTTAAGTTTCAGTGAGTTTAACTAAAACTCACTAAAGGGAAAATCTGCTCTAGTGTTGTATGTGGGTTTCTGAACAGTCATACTAGGAGTCTCAGAAATATTTGCTATTAGAAGAGATTGTGAGGCTGGGCACAGTGGCTCACGCCTGTAATCCCAGCACTTGGGGAGGCCGAGGCAGGCGGATCACCTGAGGTCAGGGGTTCAAGACCAGTCTGGCCAACACGGTGAAACCCCGTCTCTCCTAAAAATACAAAAAATTAGCTGGGCATGGTGGCACATGCCTGTATTCCCAGCTACTTGGGAGGCTGAGGCAGAAGAATCGCTTGAACCCTGGAGGTGGAGGTTGCAGTGAGCCGAGATTGTACCATTGCACTTTAGCCTAGGTAACAAGAGTGAAACTCGGTCTCAAAAAAAATAAAGGAAGCATCAGAGACATATGTATGCTAAGTATTTTCAGATTATAATGGGCCTTTTCTGCAGTTGTTTCCTTGTGAATTTTCAACTCTCTCCCAAACCATGGCAGATGAAGAGCAATCCCAGTGCCCAACTTCCTGGTCCCAGACAGACCACACCCATGGTTGATTTGGGTTATGTAACAATTTCCCTGATCTAATGCCAAGAGGGACTAAGCAGAATCCTCAACCAGAAGTAGGCTTTCGCTGTCTCATTCACTATACTGTGCCTAGCACCTAGAACAGTGCCTGGAATATAGCAGCAAAATGAATATTCATTGATCGCATATATAAATTATTTCCCAACTCATTGGCTGAGGCTTGAAAATCCATCACGGGAAATGCATTCTTTAAGACATAAATCTCCCTAGAAGAAAGAAGACACAAGTAAAAAGCTTTGTACTCATCATGGTCTTCGGTCCAATGCGCATGATCATTGTTCCACACAAGTTCCTGTGTGTGTGTGTGTGTGTGTGCACATGCATGTGTGCTCACACGTGTGTGTGTCTGTGTGATCCTACCCTCATCATTCTCCTTCCCTCCCCACTAAAAGTCTACTGCCATCTCTACCCCTGCCATAGGTCATGGCTCTAATGTTTTGTGTATATTTCTGAATATCTATGCATCCCTGTGCAGCAAGAAGTGTTGTTTAGTGTGTGTAGGTATTTTTATTTTACAAGAATGGTTCTCTTTCTTACCTTTTTACTGAACGTGATGGTCTTACCATCTGTCCATGTTGCTATATGTAGCCTCTGCTTGTAATGTGACATTCCAGAGTGTGTACCTACTGCATTTCACTTATTGATTCTCCAATGGCGGGCACCTGAACTACCTCCAATTGCCCATACCACAGACATTGCATTTCTGAACACCCTCATCCAAGTCATTTTTATGGTATCTTTCAGGATATTTTAAAAATAATTTTTGAAGTATGTCCACTAGGTCATAAGGATAAGTTTATTAGCATTTACTGAATATTGCCATTTTGCTCCCCAGAAAGACAGTGTTACTCTACTCTCACATCAGCAAATAAAGCTTTCTCTGTTTCCTTAAATCCCCCTCCATGCTTGGTGTTCTCTAACTTTAACTTGGCCAGGATTTGGAGGTTTGAAATGGCATCTATCTTGTTACCGTTTTAACCTGTATTTTTCTTTATATACTTGTAGCCACTGGGTTTCCACCTTTTATATGTTGGTTACTTACATGAGTCGTTCATCTTTCTAGCAGGCTTTGCTCTTTATCTGTTGTTGATTTCTAAGAGTTCCCTCTATATTTTAAGCATTACTCCTTTTTTGATTGTAGCCATAACAAACTCTCCTCCCCATTATTATCATTACTATTATTGAGACAGAGTCTCACTGCTCTGTCACACAGGCTGCAGTGTAGTGGTGCAATCTTGGTTCACTGCAACCTCCAACTCCTGGGTTCAAGCGACTTTCCTGCCTCAGCCTACCAAGTAGCTGGGATTATAGGCACCCACCACCATACCCAGCTAATTTTTAGTAGAGACAGGATTTTATCATATTGACCAGGCTGGTCTCGAACTCCTGACATCAAGTGATCCACCCACCTCGGCCTCCCAAAGTGCTGGATTACAGGCATGACCCACGCATACCTGGCCTCGTCCCATTTTTTTTTTATTGGATTTTAGGTTTTGGGGTACATGAGCAGAGCATGCAAGACAGTTGCGTAGGTACACACATGGCAGTGTGCTTTGCTTTCCTTTTCCCCTTCACCCACATTTGGCATTTCTCCCCAGGCTATCCCTCCCCACCTCCCCTTCCCACTGGCCCTCCCCTTTTCCCCCCAATAGACCCCACTGTTTAGTACTCCCCTTTCTGTGTCCATGTGTTCTCATTTTTCATCACCCGCCTATGAGTGAGAATATGCGGTGTTTCATTTTCTGATCTTGTGTCAGTTTGCTGAGGATGATGTTCTCCAGATTCATCCATGTCCCTACAAACGACACGAACTCATCATTTCTGATTGCTGCATAATATTCCATGGTGTATATGTGCCACATTTTTCCAATCCAGTCTATTATCAATGGGCATTTGGGTTGATTCCAGGTCTTTGCTATTGTAAACAGTGCTGCAATGAACATTCGTATACATGTGTCCTTAGAGAAGAACGATTTATAGT